ATGACATTCTGAAATGTGATGCACAGACACTATAAATCAAATGGTTAAAAGCATGAACAGGCTTTTAGGTTTCCTACAATTTTTGAGATGCATGAGACATTTTTACAGCCATGGAAATGTATCACTGTATATCACTGACTTTTTAATGGAAAGTTAATGTGCCTGCACTGCTGCATGATTAATGAGTCCAAAGCTGGGCTTGGCTTCATTGTTTGGGGTGGAGAGGGGGGAAGAATCCAGAGCTGAGAGATCTCTGTCAGATTCCTTCTGAAAGAGCCATGTTTTTTTCTTGCAGGCAGAGGAATTTCACTCTGTTGTGCATGTTCTTTTGGAGTGGCTAGCCGAGGCAGAGCAGACCCTTCGTTTCCATGGCATCCTCCCAGATGATGAAGAGGCTCTGCGGACACTAATAGATCAGCACAGGGTAAGTAAGATAATGAAGAGGATGTTGACTGCAAGACTTGATCTATTGAAAACTGGAAATAAAATGAAACAAAGCTAAGTGTGTCTAGCATAATCCTGTTCTGCCACAAAACTTGTTCTCCCACTTCTTTTTAACGTAAGAAATGAAAGTTCTGTAAATTTGAGGATTCTTCACACATATTTAATTCAGTTATCTGTCTATCAGGTCACATCTCATTACGCTTTAAAGCCATTTTTTCTTACAAGTTGAACCTCTCTAATCCGGCACCCTCGGGGCTGGTCAGGTCCTGAACCAGAGAATTTGCTGAACCACAGGATGTCAATATTATCTGGCAGCATTTACCAACACTTCCACTGCTTAGTGAGCTCCTACAAGACATTTTGGGGTAAATTAGAGCTAAATAACAGCACAGAATACTGAGAAACCAGGACTGGTGGCTATAAACAAACTTTATGAGACTGCAGGAAACTTGGTTACACCCAGGGTAAATGGCCATCTGGCTAACTAAAATCATGCTGGACTATGGATGTTGCCAGACCAGAGAGTGCCAAACTAGAGAAGTTCAACCTGTACTGAGAAAATAATTAAAAAATAGCATTTTAAAAGGAGTTGTATAAAATTAGATACTAGTTCAAAAACTTTCTTGGAAGCAATGCAGTTTGGTCAGTCTTGTTGATAAGATTTTCTAATGCCAACAATGTAACTGTCCTCCTAGCAACTCTGAGTGAAACCACCACACCAGTTTTTTTAAGATCATCATATAGGGCATCAAAATGATTAACCTTCTATCATGATGAAACACCATCCTGAAATGCTTCATATGCATTACGTAGTGAAATATTACAGTGAAAAAGATACTGGAGATGTTAGGTTTACGAGCCATCCAGCTGGATTTAAGTAATGAAATGTGAAAATGGCTAAGTTAATGACACAGCTAAGGAAAAACTCAGGGCATATCTCTTCCCATTGAGAAAGTTTAAAAAAAACAAAAACAAAAAACCCTCCCAAAATCATAGTTCATCTAGTTGTAATAATAATAATTAATAACAATAAACAAAAACTTCCATGCAATTAAAATGAAAACATAAGAATGGCCATACTGATTGAGAGCAGTGCTACATCTAGCCCATTGTCCTGTCTTCCAACAGGGGTCAATGCTAGGTGCTTCAGAGGGAATGAACAAAACAAGGCAATTATTGACTATATTATCACCCCGTCTTCCATGCCCATCATCTAGTAGTCGGACACACCCAGGGACCCCCAGAGCATTGGGTTGCAACCCTGATCATCTTAGCTAAAAGCCATTGGTTGACTTATTCTTTGTGAACTTTTCTAATTCTTGTTTTTTTCAGACTAGTTATACTTCCAGCCTTTATAACATCCCCTGGCAATGAGTTTCCCAGGTTGACTCTGCACTGTGAGAAGAAGCACTTCCTTTTGTTTGTTTTAAACCTGCTGCCTGTTCATTTCATTGGGTGACCCCAATTCTTGTGTGATGTGAAGGGGCAAATAACATTTCCTCATTCAGTTTTTCCACAACATATATTATAAACCTCTATCATATCCCCCCTTAGTTGTCTCTTTTCCGAGCTGAATGGTGCCAGCTCTCTTCTAATATGGAAGCTGTTCCATACCCCAAACATTTTTGTTGCCTTCTCTGTTCTAATATATCCTGTGAGAGATGGGGCAACCAGTATGAAGCAGTGTATTCAATGTGTGGCTTTATATCAGGGATGACAATAATTTTTGATGGGGGACCACTCCAAGAATTTGGGAAGTGGTTGAGGGCCGCACTCTTCCATGATACTAATGGAGAAGGTGCAGGGTCTGGAATGGAGGTTAAGTGCAGAAGGGAGCTTGGGGTAAGGGAGGGAGTTTAGGTGAAGAAGACGGTTGTCACCTCGGGCACTGGACTGAGGTGCAAGGGGTTGGACTGTGACCTAGGGCAGGGAATTGGGGAACAGGAGGGGCTGTAGGGGTTTGAGGTACAGGGGTTTGGGTTGTGAGCTTTGGTAGGAGGGGACTGTGATCTGGGGCAGGGGATTGGGGTGCCAGATCTGGAAGGGGATAAGGGTGCAGGAGGGGGGGAGAGGATTTGGGTATTTGAAGTAGGGGGCAGGAGTGGGGGGCAGAGGGTTGTAGGAGGAAGGGTCAGGGTGCCAGAGGCAGGTTCTGGCCAGGAGACTTACCAGCCAGCAGCCCAGCACTTGCCTGAAGCAACATCCCTGCTTGTCCCATCCCCACACAGGCTGCAGCCATGTGCTCTCTGAATCACTACCAGCTCTAGAGGGAGGAGATGTGGTGCTTCTTGACTGCCTGTTTTTTAAACAGGCAGCTCCCATTGGCCAATTTCTGGTCAAAACTGACCAGTGGGATTGTGCTGGGGGCGGAAGCAACTCCTACAGATTTTAAAGCGAAACTGCCCCGCAGCCACATTTCTGAGTGGTGAGTGGGTGGCAAGTGGGGAGCCTGTCTGGGGCTTCCTGCTGCATCTTGGGCTGAATCCCCCCCCCCGGCCATATTTTGCCCAGACCTGCTTTATATGGTAGTGTTATATTTTCTGTGTTACTATCTCTTTCCTGACCATTTTCAACATTCAGTTAACTTCTTTTTACTGTCACTGCACATTGATCAGATACTTTTAGAGAAGTATCCACAATGACCCCCAGATCACTTTCTTGAATGGTAGCAGTTAATTTAATATGTCTAAATTTGTATGTATATTTGGGGTTACATTTTTTCAATTTGCATTGTTTTGCATTTTTCAGTATTGAATTTCATCTGCCATTTTGTTGTCCAGTTTTGGATAATCCCATTGTAACTCTACAGTGTGTTTTGAATTTAACCACCTTGAGTAATTTTCTGTTACCTGTAAATTTTGTCACCTCACTCTTACCGTTTTTCCATATCACTTACAAATATATTTGTCACGGGACAGGCCACCCCTTAGGCTTACAGCCCTGTCATCATCGGGGCTACCTGCCTGCGCACCTTCCCTCCACTCGTGTCCCTTTAATAAATTCCCACGGTTCCGCAAGACAACACAAGGTCCGGGGCCCGTTTAGGAGCTCCCTGAGTCTCGGTCTCCCGGGACGCTATGAGATGACGGCGAGGAAGGAGGGGGATCCGGGCCCACCCTCACTTCAGGTCCCAACCCAGGACCCTAAAGGCAGCGGTGCACGGTGGCTGCCTGGTTGGTGGGGGTTCCCCCGTAACTCACCAACCCTCCGTATCTGGTCAAGACGCTGCCGAGGCTTGCCGCCCCCGTCCTGGGTCACTTCCTCCTCCTTGCCGGGCTGCTCGCTTTGGCGACGGTCTCCTTCGCTCCTGCAGATGCCGCTCGCCGTTACTCCCGCACCAGGCTCCTCTCCCCCGGCCAGAGCGTCTCTCCTCCCTCCTGCTCTCCCCGGGTGTCCTTTAAAATGCCCGCCTTCTGTGGCCCCGCCCTCCTCATTCGGGCGCTGCTTGATGACGTCACCTGGGAAGGGAAATCCCCTCTGGGCGACGTCCACGTCCCTGGCTATCCCCGTGCAGATGGGGCACGTGAGTCGGGGCACCACCCACGAGCGTCCGTGCTCCCGGCTTCCCGAGCCACCAGAGGCTGCTGCTTGTGCAGCTGACAGCCCCACCGGAATCCCTTTTGCCCCCCGCGGGCTCAGGAGTGTGGGGTGCCGTAGGTTCCGGGGCCCCTTCACAATGTTGAACACCAGTGGTCCGAGTATGGAACTCTAGGATCTCTTCTATTTAGCTCTCTCCACTCTGAAAAACTACCATTTATTTGTAATTTTTGTTTCCCAATACAATCTACTGATCCATGAAAGGACCTTCCTTCTTTTCCCATGACAGCTTACTTTGCTTAACAGCCTTTGGTGAGTGAACTTGTGAAAGGATTTTTTGAAAGGCCAATATCCACTGGATCACCCTTATCCAGATGTTTGTTGATCCCCTCAAAGAACACTAATAGATTGGTGAAGCGTGATTTCTTTTTACAAAAGCTATGTTGACTCTGCCTCAAAAAATCACTTTACTCTGTGTCTGATCATTCTGTTCCTTGCTGTAGTTTCAACTAATATGCCTGATACTGGAGTTAGGTCAGGATAGAAATGATCATAATAATGTATTGTAATGTATTTCTTGACTACTGTGAAGAGGAAAATTTGTAATAAAACTTCCATAGAATTGAAGGTGCAGAAAAAGCTTAATATTTTTACCCCTCATTGTGGGTAGTCTTATCAACTGATAAGGCATGACCATCTAATTGTATAATTCAAGAATCCTCAGTGTATCCTGACTTCAACCACACAGATCTTAGGGGATTCACCCGTAACGTCTGCCTTTCTAGTGCTGGTCATCACCGCTGACAGCTTACTATTGTACTGCTGCTGCTTGTTCCCTTGCTGTACCCATATTGTGCTTTCCCATCTGAGGACTTTTCAACACAGGAGGGAAAGTTTCAACAAATGACACTGATTTGTGTGAAAGTTTGTCACTTAATTTGGAGGCAGAAGGAGCACTGGGATTTGTGCTGTGGTTCCCTAGCTCCATCCTTCTCTGTCTGCTCACACCTTCCCCACATATATTACCCTTATGGAAGGGCTTCCAGCTGCTTTTCTGGGATCTGAGGGAGTGAAATATGCCTGTGATTTGTCTGTCCTCTCTAATGCTCCAAATGGTTCCCTTTTGTTCTTTTGCTCTCCTCTGTATAAGAGAAATCCTGGCCGCACTGGAGTCAGTGCCAAATTTCCAATTGATTTTAATGGAGTCTGCATGTCATCCTGTGTCATAGACTAATAAAATAATTTCCACAAAAATACAACTTAGCTAAGTTATAGTTAAGATTGTTAAGTCCACACTGAAAGAAATGTATCATTAATCACATTATTGTTTTAAAAAAAGTAAACATTGAAACTATGGAAATCACAATCTAAGAACAATTCTGACAGCATCGTTAATACCCCATACGCACATTAATAAATAAAAAAAAATCTCACCAAATAACA